GAGATAGTTTGTAAACTGAACTTATATTGCAATCCTGGTCCGTTTTTATATCATTTCTCTCCTCATGGGTTCATATGGAAGCCTTTGTGGCTTTTTAAGCTATTGTACAAATTTAAGTTGTTTTTCAACCTTCATCTGTCCCCTAATTTTCTTATGGACTTTGGATGTTAATATAATTGCATATATAGAGGTACCTGATATGTGTTACCGTCAGTTGTGTGTAATTCACCAACTTAATATCATCGAATGTCTTTCAAGTAATTTTTTTCTTAAATTTGAAAGTTTTGGTGCTGGAAGAAATTATTGGAAAAACTTTTGTTTTACTAAAAATTGTGGTTTTGCTTAAAATTTATTCCGGAAAAAAGTGATCGTGTATTTTTCGGGTTGTTGTTAGGGGTGGAGAAGTTGTTGGTAGGGGTTGGGGGGGGGAGAGGGTTTGGCATGCATAATTTTTCAAGTATCATTCCTCATTGTGGTGGACACGCCGTGATCCAACTTTAGCCGCTGACTTGGTCATGATTGCTGCAGGACCAAGTGCCACGCCGTCCGAAGTGGCAATGAGCTGAGGCACGACAACAGCACTGTTTTATATCTTTCCAGGTTCAAGCAGAACGATTTGCAACCGCACCTGACAGGATTTCACGCCGTTTTTTTATGAATGGGGCGAAGCAAAAAGTTTCTTTTGTGCAGAATATGTAAAAAAGGATGGACTTTGGATGTTAATATAATTGCATATATAGAGGTACCAGATATGTTTTACAGTCAGTTGTTGGTAATCCATCGAGTGTATGTCTCCTGTTAAGCAATTGTTTTTTTTTTTAAATGTTGGCTCTCCATGTAAAAAATTAATTGTTTATACATAATTGTGGTGTGCTTAAAATTTATTTCCCGGAAAAAAATGATCGTCAAAGTCCATGTCTTTTTCGGGTTATTGTTAAGGGGGGAGGGAGAGAGGTTGTTGTTAAGGGGGAGGGGGTGTAACATGCATATTTTGTCATTCTCATTCCTCATTGTGGTGGACACACCGTGATCCACCTTTAGCCGCTGACTTGGTCCTAGTGCCACGTCGTCCGAAGCGGTAATGAGCAGAGGCAGGAGAGCAGCGCTGATTTATATCTTTTCAGGTTCAAGCAGAATGATGTGCAACCAAGTGGTATTCGTTTATGATGACTGGGTTTGGGAAAAAGGCTTATTTCATGAAAACAGTGATAAAATTATCATTTGGACATTTTCAAAAGCTTAATTACAGAAAAATTGGAAAAATATTTATTTCAGAAGGTTTGTAATGTAATATCCTATCGATTGGCGTATTTGGATTTTTATTTCATCTATAAATGACAAAGTTACAAGCGTTCAAAACCTAACACTCCTTCACCACACATATTTTTTGATTTGTACCTCAGTATAGTCGACAAAGACGTAGTTCTACGTCAAAAGAGGCAAATACCGTATGCGTGATAATGTTTGTACCATTGAGCAATGTCAAAATTAAAAAAAATCTCAAAAATTTCGTTTTCGAGTTTTTTATTTATTCATAGGGGGATGTTTCTCAGAGTCTTAAACTTTGTTAATCATCGATCGAGTTTCCACTTACTGCAATTACGGCCTCTACACGCTTCCGGAATGCACGGCAGGTTCTAATAATGTAGTCTGGATCCATTTCTCTTCAGGTACAGGTCAATGTTTGTCTGAGGCTTGCTGTACTCGGGTGGCGTTTAGAACAGGCCTTGGCCTTCATGACGCGCCATATTGAGTAATCCAGCGGATTAAGATCGGGGCTGGATGGCGGCCACATATCCTTCGCCCATAACGGAAGATGTTCCTGCAACCACTTCTGAGTGCGGTTCGAGGTGTGGCAAGGAGCCCCATCGTGTTGAAATACAAAATTTGGCTTCGGACGGACCGTACTGTTCTTTGATCCACGGAAGAACATACTTACTTAAAATCCCGATGTAGACCTCCGAGTTGACCGTGTCGTCTTATGTAATGAACACCGGGTCCATTTTTTGCCATCGGAAGCCACCAATCCAAACACCATAACGCTAGCAGGATGCTTGGTCAGATACACGTTCTTGTGCTCGTTGGCCACGTCTTTTACCGGAAGAGAACTAATATACAGGTCGGTTCTGGAATTTGATACGGGATCAACGGTAAACATGCTCTCGTCCGGATGTATTCGCTTAAGGAAATTCAAGATTTTCTTGCATCGTTCGACTCGTAGCTCCCGGATGCGGTTGGTAATCATGTGAGTTTTTTTCCGTTCCCTCGACTACGCCCCGCAATCTTCTTTTACGATCTTCCGTCCCGTAAAGTCACTGATCCCGTGTTCTTTTGCCATTTTCCTTATTGAACGCACTGGATTCACCCGAATCTTCCTTTTGATAGCAGCGATAACCCTCGGAACCCGAGCTCGGACGACCTGTGGCCACCTTGGCGGATAGTTGTCCTTTCTTTTCCCGGTCTAAAACCCTCTTGACGGTCCACCGGGACACTCCCGCGGCGATTGAAATATCTTTTTGCGACATTTGCGCGTGGGACAAATCACGAAATCGCCTTGACACCAGTCCCGAAGTGACGTTTCTTCACACACATTTTGACAGTTCCTTATGGGGTTTTGCGTTGGAGTGAGAGAATAAGAAAAAGTCCGCCATGTTTCACACATAGACTGACAGTTACATATGAGATTTCTCCATAGGAGTAAATAGTTACAGAGCTCTCGTCAACGCCAATACGCTCCCACTTCGTCATGTTGCAACTGTCAAACTAATAGCGAATTCGTTTATTGTTCAGTTCCAACCTGGATCGGGTATCAAGATTGGGTCTGCTTGTTTTCTGACAAACGTCAGTTTGCTCGTTTGTTTTTAAAACCTAGCTCAGGTTGAGGTTCACACTGACAAAAAAGTTCGGTTTCGCACTGGGTCACAACCAAAGACGACATTCACCAGTTGCTTTTACTTCGTTCGTCAACTTGATGGATGGTCATGAAAAGAGCTTCGACGAGTACATTGATACGAATGTACAAAGCGTTACTACCATCAGCTGTTTGACGATCGTGATTGTGATAGGTCGCAACTCTGACCCCGATAGTAAACGAATTCGCTATAAGTAAATCATTTTCTTTTATACACATCCTACTACGTTATGAGCTATAGGTTACGTGCATGCAAAGAAAACCAAGGCATTGTATGCACAGGTGAAACGGGAACCTTATTTGTACGATGGTGCAAACATTATCAAGCATACGGTACCCATCAATACGTCAATCAGTCGATTTTGGAAACTAATAGCATTATCCCAGCAAGGCATTACACTACGAATAAAGTTCACTGCCGTACTAGGAAGTTGTTCTCCAAATGTCAAAGGGTTCTATCAGCCCCTTATCGAAGAACTTACGCCTTTTAGTAAAAATTGCCGGACAATGGCATAGCAAATGTTCCAAGTCTTCCTTTTCTATGCCACAGACGCGACTTACATCATCTTGAAGTTTTCCGATCAGCTTCAAGTGACAACGGCTCGGACAATTACTTGTTATAAGCTCTGTATATATGCTAAGATCTTTCTTAGAAAGTGCCAGGATTTTGTGGGTCACAGAAATGTTTGGATTAATGAATCGCTACGACTGCCTAGCAATGGAAGTATCCTACTAGTTTTCCTGCTCTTTTAAAGATTCCCACGCTTTTATCTTTTCTCCATCCAGTCTTCGTTGTTCCTTACTGGAGAGTTGATACTAACAGTTTTGAAAATCCTAAGATGTCCTCTAAGGCCTCCTTCAAAGAGTTTCACTGACCTTGCAATCCTTAGAGCACACTTTTCGGCTTCTAATTGTACAAATTGATGTAATGGTAGCATATGAAGCAAAGCATCCAATGCCCTCGATAGTGTACTTCTCATTGCACCTGTTATTGAGAGAGTTACTAACCTTTGGAGTTTTTCTAACTTTCTCTGAGCACCACTCTCTTTTCCTTTTCGCCACCAGACCACCATAAGTAACCCTGGGTTTCAGATTTGCCTAGTAAATACAATGGATCATTTTCAGTTTAAGTCCCCAAGGTTTACCGAATGTTTTTTGCATATCCTTCGCGTGAATGGCACAATAGTAGTTTTAGAAGGATTTATGAGTAGAAGTATTAGTGAGCTAATGAAGAAGATGCTGAATGGAAATACAGAAGATGACCGTGAGAAAATCGAAAAGATGGAGTTAAAAAAGATGAAGATCAAGGAAGAAAATGCGCCAGCAGGCGTGAATGAGTATGAAGATGCAGAAAGATGAAGATAAAGATGAAGTGGGGAATCAAAGAATGAAGAAAAAGATCAAGAGAAGCAGAAATCCGAGAAGACGATTAAAGCTGCTGTCATGAGCAGAAGAAGACGGAAAATAATGGATGCTCAAGCAGCAGGAAGCGAGAAGATGATGGAGGAGGAACAGAAGAAGCCGAAGATGGAAAAAGGACCTCAGTTGAACTACGTAGAATGATTGTCATCCCAAATTGAAACGCATAAATAATTCTATCGAACGTCATTTGCTGATCTGAACTGACAAACGAGATGGAATCATAGTCATCTGGGTGGTACGAACATTGGTAGATTGTCTAATTCGTGGTGGAGGAAGTTTCCTCTACCAACAAACGATTTTACGATTTTTTTTTATTTGATGGATACATTATCGAAATCCTGTTCATAGCTATTCAAAATAAATATAAAAATCTAGATGACTTTCTAGAAATCCTCGAGAGAAGTTGTTACGCCCTTATTCCAGCTCTATCTAGAAATGTAAACAATCGAATTATAAATCTAATTTAAATTATTTGCAAGTCATCATATTATTAAATTGCTGTCCGTTTAGCAGCCATTTTTCATCGTTTATTTATATGACAGTCATATATGGATGCTCATCAGTTGATGGTAAATTCAACCATAAAATAATCGTCTGGAATTCGAAAGCATATTGTTAAATGGATCAAGCAATGCAATAATCATTCGAAATATTGCGAATGTTTTCGATCAGTGTAGTGCTCTCAATAAACAATTGCGGAAGTCTTCGATATAAGTTCTATGCTGAAACAGCTGAGATGTGATAGCTTAACAAGTAGAAAAAGAAGTTTTGATGTTCAGTGAGATAAGTATTTATTAAACGATTGTGTGCATATTATTCTCCGTTCTGGTTTCGGTGTTTCAGTTCTACAATAGATCTTTCATATCACAGTCAACTTGTTCAGGCCAGTTACAAACTAGCTCGAACGGATCGAACAATAGCCCATCGGGACATGAAAATTCAATGATTTGACCGTTAGAGCAAAAGTAAAACTTGTCACAATATTCAGGATGGGGAAACCCACCCACGCCGGTACACACACCAGGATCTGCTGCAGTCGTTGACGTTGTTGCTGCTGTAGTAGGCGGCTGTGACCCATTGTTCAGAGCTGAGTATATACCATCCAACAAGATATTTGCCTTACCGTGGCAAACGCCAAGAAAGTCGTCACTTTCCAGCGACCATACCATGGCACCTCCAAGATCCATTTGTAAAATATAGTCCAACTGAAAAAGAGCATCAACTTGTTTCTTAATTTGTATTATGAGACATAATGCCTTTTCACCTTGAACTGCACCGACGTCGGATCATCGAAACCAAGCCATTGATTGCCTCTGACAGCATAGAATCCACGTTGCTCATCACTTGATCGGATATCCCATTCCTCAGTTTGAAGTTTTTCGCAAAACTCATTGTATCCCAGCACACCAGGTTCTCTGGAGTAAGGTCCCTCAATTCCGGGGCCATTGACTGCCGCACCAATATAATTTTCCGCGGCGTTTGTTAGTGTGAAAGACCTTCCATAAAGTGGGATACCCATTATGAGCTTTTCCTTCGGGGCTCCTTGTGACAACCAATAGTGGATGCTGGTATTCGCGTTCAGTTGTTGCTGTATCTCTGTTACGTCGGATGGCCCTTGATAAAGTGGTGCGTTCAGTCCGCAGTAATCATTCCACGCTCCATTCATATCGTAGGTCATCACGTTGACAAAGTGAAGTGCGGCTGAAACGCGTGGGATGTCGTACGAGACACCGGCAGAAAATTCTGCAGATGCCACAGCCGCACTTAGGAGCAGACCTTGGCGATCAAATCTGCAACATATAAGTGCGTAGTGGTTGAGTGTATGAAACTGACATCTGCCTTAAATGTATTGTTGTTTATAATCAATGATAGAGCATCAACCTAAACTACGTACAATTTGAAATAGCGTTGATTCTATGAGGTATGAATACGATGAAATTAAATCAGAAGGTGCATGTCCTTTGATTCATTTATTTTTTTAATCATGAATTTTGATAATTATCTCAAAATGGCAGTGAGTCGAACTGAGAATATTTTAATCAACCGAGGGCACACGCCACCTTCGGCTGGTGGAAAATTGAACCAGGGATGCCTGATACTTTTGCAAGATGTCGGTAGGGAAGCTAAGGATATGTCTGTATTTGTCTGTATCAGTGATTTGGAATAGTCATGGAGGAGGGGGGGGGGGGGGAGGTATCTCAGGACTAGGTTGCAAATGCTCAGTTCGCATAGACACATATTGTTTTTAATAATTAGCAATTGCGAATTGCTGTCAGTGTCAAGGTTGTATAACGCGAAATTTGAAGTAAAATCAGCCCTAAATCCGCTTCAACTTTAATTCAAAGTAAACTTCCACTAGTAATATCTCATTGGGTTGTGCAAGTTCTGTGTACCTCCATAAGCCTATCATTAACTTTTCCAGAACTTCCTGAACTTCCACAAAGGGTCATATACTTCCATGAAATTCTCTAAATTATTATGAGGTTTCCTAAAGTTTTTTTTTATGTTTTTGAAACATTTTTGACGTTCTTTGAGTTTTGTTTTGGTTCGGTTGACAAATTTAAAGTACTGAATTTCCTTAAATTTCCAGTAATTCTCCCAGATCATAAGAGCAATTTCCTAAGCATTTTCAAGATTCCCTTTTTTTAAGTTCTCTAAACTTCTTTGAGGCACTCTTAACTACTCTTTAGTTGATTTAAAATTCTCTGAAATTAATCTAAGCTTGACCGAGGATCATTTGAACGTCTCCGAAGAGACTTTCTGACGTGAAACATAAACAGAAAAAAAAAGTAATATCGATCAATGTAATTCAACCATTCCACTGCGTCCTAGCAAGAAGTACGGTCGACTTAGTTCACGCTCCGCTATTTTGGAAGTTTTCTCGCTATTCGCTTGATTTAAATTGTCAGTTTTTTCTCGCTTAGAGTTCCCAGCTAAATAATTAACTAAAAGTGAGTTTTTTTTTCTGAGAAGAAAGTGTGTTTTCGGCATCATCGGAAGGAAAATTGTTTTTACGATTGCCAATTCGCCAACCATTTTGCGCACCATCAGTGCGTGGTAACGCATACCTGCACGACCTGCACACGGATCATCGTCATCGAGTATCAGCATCTGCCTCCGCATTTACACCGCTCATCTATCATCGTGTGTTTAGCTGAGTGCCGACCCTCACATAAGCACACACCAACGAAGACCGAGACGGCTAATACATAGGTGTAACAGTCGGAAGAAGTGTTAGTTTGTTTACTTAAATGAACCATGCCCATTTTCTTATGGCATGTTTGCTATAAGAAATGCGCCTCGTGTTTATTAGCGAATTTCACATCAAAGATTGATTAATTGAGTAGGAAATCAGTTTGGCACGGCATTTGTGACCAGCATACACCTTCCGGTAGTATGAAACAGGTCAAAAACTGTTCAAATCCGCAGATAAAATTTTTGTTTTGAATTTCTGTATAGCAAAATAGTGAACTTTTCGTGAACATTAACGGCAAAGAACTCACCAACACTGGGAGACTGTGAGTTCCTGCCCACCTGTTCATTTTCCATCGTGAACGAAGACCACCCGCACACGCTGATCGAAGATCATCCACGCTGCGCGTCGCTCCGCTGCTGCCGTTTAAACGCTCGGTGGTAGTAATATAGGATTATCAGATAAGTTTTTGTTCTTGTTTCTCTCTTTCGCCCACAGTTAAATTTTAAGTTTGTGTTCTGTGTTTGTAGTTTTTTTTTGTGTATTGTGTCCGAGTGATTATCGTTTCAGTGGTAGAGCGTTTTTCGCTCCCACTAGTACGGCAAAATGGACATTTTGTCGCAAGACGAAATGGACGTTTTGTCGGAAGATGACACCACTTTGCCACGCGATGGCAAGAAGGGTCGAAAACGTACGTCATCTCTCCCTGGTTCATCGTCTCAGTCTGGCAAAGGACAGGCTCAGATAAACCCCCGATCGCGAGCCTATCCAGATGACTCGACTGGCCCATGGGTTGTCTACTTTCAGCCCAGAAACAAACCTTTGAATGTAATGCAAATTACTAATGATCTGACGAAGCGATACTCGGCCGTGACTGAAATCACGAAGGTTAGGCACAATAAACTTCGTGTCTCCGTATCTAACCTGAAGCAGGCTAACGAGATTGCTGCCTCCCAGCTCTTCACGCTCGAGTACAGAGTTTACATCCCAGCTCGTGATGTGGAGATCGAAGGTGTGGTCACCGAAGCGAGTCTGACCCCCGAGATCTTGGAGAAGCAGGCGGTTGGCCGTTTCAAAAACCGTTTGCTTCCTCCGGTGAAGATACTGGATGTCCAAAAACTGGGCTCAGTATCTGTCAGCGAGGGTAAAAAGAGTTTTACCCCCACAGACTCGTTCCGTGTGACCTTTTCTGGTTCAGCCCTTCCTCACTACATCGAGCTGGGAAAACTTCGACTACCTGTGCGTTTGTTCGTTCCCCGGGTCATGAACTGCCAAAACTGTAAGCAGTTGGGACATACGGCCTCCCACTGTGGCAGCAAGGCACGCTGTTCCAAATGCGGAGAGAAGCATGGGGATGACACCTGTGCAGCTACCGCACCAAAATGCGTGTACTGTAAGGGAACTCCTCATGGTATCTCGTCATGCCCGGTGTACAAACAACGCGGGGAGAAATTACAACGCTCACTTAAGGAACGTTCCCGGCAGTCATCGACCAACGACAAAAATCCCTTTTCTCTTTTGTCAGATGACGAGACTGACTCTGACTTGGCTGAGGAGGGAACTTCTTTCTGTTTTTCAGCACGGAAACGAAAACGCATCCGTTCGCGGAAAGTTGAGAATGAAGAACCCCAAATCAGCTTGCCCAAATCAAGGAGTGGTGGAAAAAAGGAAGTTTCTACTTCTCCTGGATTCAGAAGAACTGCCCAAGTAGCACACATATGACACACAAAGTTGCAGCAACTTGAATGTGACTAAAATTAGTCCTATATCAGTTACCTCAACCGGTTTGTGACAAGTGTGCTACTAGGGTGACTATACCCAGGATTTTCCACCCCTCCCGGGGACATCCAAAACCCCTGATGTCCCATTTTTAAGAACAGAAGTCCCTTCTTCATCTGGTTTGTTCTCATTTGATAAAATTGTGGACGATATTCTCAAGTACCTGAATATTTCTGATCCTCTCAAAAGCATTGTTCTGGCAATGCTTCCTACTGTGAAGACCCTCTTGAAGCAATTGACATTGAAGTGGCCCCTCATTGCAGCAATCATTTCCTTCGATGGATAATTTTCCAAACGAGGTCGGGGATTTGATCACTATTCTACAGTGGAATTGTCGAAGTCTTATTCCTAAATTAGACTCTTTTAAGTTTTTAGTTCACAATAATGATTGTGATGCATTTGCTCTTTGTGAAACTTGGCTCTCTTCAGATATAGATCTTCCTTTTTATGATTTTAACATTATTCGACTGGATCGTGAGGATTCGCGTGGAGGAGGGGTACTTTTGGGGATCAAAAAGTGCCATTCCTTCTATAGAGTGAATCTTCCACAATTTACAGGTATTGAAGTTGTTGCATGTCAGGCTATTATTAAAGGTAAGAGCCTTTGTATTGCTTCTGTTTATATTCCTCTTAGAGCCGTTGTTAATCGAAAACAACTTTCAGATATCTGTTCGGTACTTCCTGCTCCACGGTTGATTATGGGAGATTTGAATTCCCACGGTACAGGCTGGGGGGAACTGTATGATGACAACCGTTCTACTTTGATATATGACCTCTGCGACAGCTTTAATATGACAATTCTTAACAATGGAGAAGTAACACGTTTGGCTGGCCCATCCTCGAATGGAAGTAGATTAGACCTCACACTTTGCTCTAACTCATTATCGTTGGATTGCACGTGGAATGTGATCCAGGATCCCCACGGTAGTGATCACTTGCCGATCAAAATTTCGATTGCCAGTGGGTTCAATCCGTCGGAATCCGTTAACGTCGCGTACGACCTCACCCGTAATATCGATTGGACAACGTTCAAGACCGCGATAGAGGAAGCCGTGTCGTCGGTAGAAGGGCTTCCACCGTTGGAGGAATATAACTTCCTCTCCAATCTGATCTTGGACAGCGCGCTTCGAGCTCAAACTCGGCCGGTTCCAGGAACGTCTTTGCGTAGGAAACCTCCTTCCCCTTGGTGGGACCACCAATGCACTGAGGTTTATCGTAAAAAGTCCGACGCGTTTAAGCTTTTCCGGAAACGTGGAACACCCGTGTATTTCGAAGCGTACTCGGCTCTTGAACGCGAACTCAAGAGCCTCATCAAAGCTAAGAAACGCGGATACTGGCGGCAATTCGTGGACGGATTATCGCGCGAAACGTCGATGAATACGCTTTGGAACACGGCGCGAAGGATGCGTAACCGGTCTTCGAACAACGAGAGCGAGGAGTACTCAGATCGTTGGCTTTTGCTAAAAAAGAGCAAATGGCTTCTGTATTCTTGAATATCAAGGGGGCTTTTGATTCAGTATCCGTTGAAGTCCTTTCAGACAAACTCCACGCTTGTGGCCTTTCTCCATTAATAAATAACTTTTTGTACAATTTGCTGTCAGAGAAACATATGAGCTTTTCTCATGGAAACTCTACAGCTTCTCGATTTAGTTACATGGGTCTCCCCCAGGGCTCATGTTTAAGCCCCCTTTTGTATAATTTCTACGTCAGAGAAATTGACAATTGTCTAAGTGACAACTGCACGTTGAGACAACTTGCAGATGACGGCGTAGTGTCTATGACAGGGCCCAAAGGGGTCGACCTGCAAGGACCCTTACA